TTTATTTAGCCTCCAGGCCTTTGCACCCGCCAGGCTCTGTCTGAAATGCCTTCTCTCTCCTTTTGGGCTCAGTTGCCCTCTGATCCCCTAGTTCCCATGCCCTACCTCCCTCAGTCCAGCTCATTCTCTAGGGGGATTTTGTGTCCCCATCACTCCCACCGCCCACTTGATGGGGCCTCTTTTGGGCGGAGCCCAGGTCTGGTTCGCCTCTGGGTCCCTGCTGCCTAGTTGCAGGCCTGGCACACAGCAGACTCCAGAAAGTGGAGTGGATGGAAGGGCAGGTCTAGGTGAAGAAAGAGGGGCGCCTGGGGCTCAAAATATAAAGAGGCCCATGCTGCAAATGTGACCTGGTCCTGGCCCTGTGGAGAAGGGTGCATGGCTATTTGTGGAAACCTGCTAGAGTAATAACAGCTATTATTTGGGGGGTATTTGTACCAGGTATGTTACACATATTATCTCATTTAATTTAATCACAACATCCCCATAAGACAGATACCTTTATTATCTCCATTTTTCATATGAGGAAACAAAGATTCGGGCAAGTTAAATCTTGTGCCTAAGGGGAGGAGCTGGGGTTAGAACCTGAGATTGCCAGACTCAAAGCCTCTAGGAGCTTCCCCTGATAGCCTTTCTTGCTTCTGACCTTGGCTCTGTGGGGTTCTGGGCAATCCTAGGTCTCTATCTCATGGAGTTTGGAGAAAGTGGGGTGCAGGGGAATTTCAGTCTAATTTCTCTAGTGTCACCTGCTCCCTCTGGGCCTCAGTTTTCTCAGCTGTAAAATGGCTGCATGTCAGACTTCCTGCTGTAAACCAGGCCTTAAGGGTTTTGCAGTCAAGCATGGCTCACTCCTTGGCTAAGCAGTCCCAGCACTGCCACCCCTTAGGTTCTGGTTTTCAGGGGGGCTGCCAGGTGTCCAGCCAAAATGACTGACTTGCCCAGGCCCCAGTGGCTGTGGGTTCCGGTCACAGCCCCGCCCACCAGGTGCTCTCCAGTGACTCACCCCTACCCCCACCGGTCCCTCCAGAAGTCTCTTAGAATTACCTTGCCCATATGGCAGCTGCCACTGTGGACAGGAACAATGCTGGATGTAATTTATCCCTCTTGGTGCAGCCCCGCTGCCTCCTAGGGGCTGTGGAAAGAGCTGGGCCCAGAGCCAGGGCTGCAGCTGCTCCACACTGGCCACCCAGACCACCTCAGTTTCCTTATCTGCAGCGCCACGGCCACAGCCTGGGTTCTCAGCTTCCCAGCAGGCCCCACAGCTGACCTTCCTCCCCAGAAGCCTGCTATGAGCTTGGGAAACCTTTGAAGTTTCTCTTTTTTTCTTAAAGATAAAATATTATGCAGAGTTTATGCTCCACTCAGTGTCGGTCTGTCTTATAGCTCAGTGTGCTCCTCCCACTGCCTGCTGTCTCAGAGGGAGACCTCTGGTCCTACCACTAAAGCTCTGGCCGAGGAGTCCAGAAGAAGAATGGGCAGTCTGGACAATGTGGGCCCTTCTAGTGTGCCCCCAGCATGGGTGCATCTGGCACACCAAGGCTGACCCAAGGGAAGAGGCATTCCCAGGTTGGATTCTAACCTACAAAGCATAATTCTGTTGTCACTGCCCTTCCATACACTCACTGTCTGGGATAACACATTTGATTACTTGCAAAGCCAAACCAGCTTCCAAACTTGGATTTAGAGAAGTTCTGGTTTCCTCAGAAGCCACACTTGAGTGCTCCTTGATGGTTAAGAGTGTAAGAAGATCCGATTTTGAAGCTCTGCTGCTTTCTTGCCATATGATTTGGGCAGGTTGCTTCCTCTCCTGAGCCTCAGTTTTCTGTTTTGCAGCACAGGAATGACCCAGCTCATAAGTTGGGGGTGAAGAGCGAGTGTGTGCTGAATGTCAGGTGCAGCACCCGGACCATCACATGGCTGCTCAGTGGAAGGTTGTTGGGACGTTCCTGATGATGCCAGATCTGGCCTTTGCCATTTCTCCATCCCATCCTTCTCATCACTTTGCCCAATCACGCATTCATTCATTCACTCATGTTTCAGTAGTCTCTTTCAGTCTGATATAGTTCCTGAGTCGTTCCTTGACTTTCATGACCCTGACACTTAGAGGCCAGATATTTTGTAAAAGTCCTACATTTTGGGTTTGTCTGAGTTTCCTTATGATTAGCTTCAGATCATGCATCTTTGGCAGAAATATCACTTAAGTGGTGCCTGTGTTGTTTTCATTGCATTCTGTCAGGCAACACCCAGATGTAACTTGTCCCAGCACTAATGATGTTTACTCTGATCACTTGATTAAGGTAGTATCTGCCAGGCACTGTGAAGTTACTGGTTTTCCCTTTGTAATTAATAAGTATCTGATGGGCAGCTACTTTGAAACTATGTAAATACACTATTCCTCATCAAACATTAAATTTATTTATTCATACCTGTATATACTTTGGTTTCCTATTTTATTCAGTAGAATATAATCTGCTATTATCATTATTCATTTTAATACACGGGCTGGCCCAGCTTTAGCCCCTGATAGGTGACCAACTGTCCTAGTTTACCCACAACTGAGGGGTTTCCCAGAATGCAGGACTTTTAATGCTAAACTGGGAGAGCCTTGGGCAAACCCTGATGAGTTGGTTGTAGCTCCTGTGTCTGCTGGGCAAGGTCCCTATCATTCTGTGTGTACATCATCCTTCCTTTCTGGCACAGTAAGATGTTCTAGGCTCATCTTATACCTACTCCAACCCCACCCCAGAATCACGTGTTTCTCCAAGACAACCTGGAAGCAGGACCTTTTGAGTGTTAGGCTACAGCACACCCTGGGCTCATTCAGATCCCCTACAGGCCACACTCTTACCTGCCCCTGCGTCTGGGCCGCTTGCTAGATGCCTACCTTCCAGCCTGAGCTTCTCCATGAAGACTGACCACCCCATGCCCCACCCTGCAAAGCTGACCCCCTCCTCTCTGCTCTATTGGGCAGTCTGGGGCACCTCTTCATTTCCAATTTGGTCTCCTTCCTCAACTGTAAGCCTCTGAAGGACAGGCCTCAGAGTCATCTCTGACTCTTCTGTGCTCCGCACAGAGCTGGAACTGGTTAAGTGACTGGTTCTATCATACCCCCTCATGGAGCAGAAAACAAACAGAGAGCAGGGAGGGAGGATGACACAATGAGTCTTTGTGGGCTGGAGCTGTCCTTGAACTTTGGTTTTTGTAACTAAAATGGGGCTGATACCTGAGAGCATTGCTGTAGGAATAAAATGCTTAAGGTAATGTGTAGGACAGTACCTGGCATGTGGTGAGTGCACCTCTCAGTATCTCTGGGGGACTTTTTAAAAAAAACTTTTTTTTCATTATTGCAGAAGCAGTACTATATATTCTAGAAAATTAGAAATACAGACAGCAAAAGGAAAATAAAACCATCATATTCTTACCATTTAGAGATCGCCACTGTTAACACTTCAGCAGTTGTGCTTCCCAAGCTTTTTCTGTGCTGATATTTGCCCCCAAAATGAGATTAGACCATGAATTCCACTTTGTAACCTGCTTTTCTTCAGGCAGAAATCTCCACCATTTTGTATCAGGAAATTTTCAGCGTATCTTATTAATACTCAGATCATATTCATAGTTCTTCAGTTGTCCCAAATATGTCCTTTATAGCTGTTGTTTCCAAGCCACTGTGCAATCCAGGACCACACTTTCTTTCTGGTGGTTGTATCCTATAAGTCTCAGTCTGTCCCAGTCCCTTCCTTATGACACTGACCTGTAGAAGAGGCTACATTTACCAGTAACCCTGCAGAATATCTCACCATATGGCTTTACCTAGCTATATGCTTGTGGTGATACTTGTTCCTCTGTCCTTTGTATTTTCTGTAAAGTGAAGCATATCCAGGGCTTGATGAGTGCACTGGTGCCCAGAATACCCAATAGGTAGTGTGATGAGTCCTTCCTGTGTCCTCTCATCACCATTCATGGTGCCAAGGCCTAACCCAAGATTAGGGGGAAGGCAGTGTGGCCCCTCCCTCATATTGTTGCATGTATTTCCTTTTCAGTAGAAGGTAATATGTGTGGTTCCTTTGGCATCATCTGAACACCCTGTTCTGGGAAACCTTAAAACTACACAATAAAATTTGTCTATTCACTGAAGTGAATTTGATCCTGGGATTTGGGCTTTCGGGTGAAAAAAATCATAGAACAAGGATATGGACTGAGTTTCACCTTGCTGAGTGCAAATCTAGTGAAACCTGGTTATTTTTACTTGCTTTCCAGACATGTGATCTAGGTTAAATGCCAGCTCTGCTATTTACCAGCTGGGTGACTGTGGGAAAGTTCCTTAACATCTCTGAGCCTTAAGTCTCTCCTTGGATTTCTTGCCTGGCAGAGTTATTGTGGGGGTTAAATTATAAAAGGGTATTCTAAGCTCTTTGCTCCTCTACATGGAAAGCTCTTTGAGAACAGGCTAATAAATAGTAAGAAATCCAGAGATATTTGTTGGTTAAAAAAAAATGGAGGACAAATGGTATAGCCAGGTAATACACATATCATGGAGGAAATAAATCATCCATTTAGGCATTTGTTTGTTCATTCAGATTTTCATTTCATTTAACATATACTCATGCCAGGCTCTGTGCTGAATCGACTGTGAGCCTCTGCCCATGAAGTTCAGGGGCCTGGAGGGCACAGATAAAGAGACTCAGTGTATGGGAGTCCAGAAGGTCTGGCTGGGTAATTCAGGAAGACTTCCGAGAGGAGGAGACTGGGACGAAGGGGTAGGTTTGGTAGGGGCTGGGATGGGGCAGATGGTTTCTGATACAGGGACTGTCTATCTCCCAGCACAGTTGGCTTCTGGGAGGGGTGGACAGGGCTCATGGCAAGAGGCGAGCCCATGCTGGCTTCAGAGGTCACTGCTCTTCCCTGTCCTCCTCTTTCTACCCGCTTTGCCTGTCTGCCCTCCTATCCCCTGACCAGGGCTTTGAGCCCCATGTGGCCCTGACAACTCATGTGTCTGTCTGCAGTGCCGGATGGAGTGCCACGATGTGCCAGCAGAGACGCTCTACGACGTCCTACATGACATTGAATACCGAAAGAAGTGGGACAGCAACGTCATTGAGACTTTCGACATTGCCCGCTTGACAGTCAACGCTGATGTGGGCTATTACTCTTGTGAGCAGGCGCAAGGACGCTGATCCCAGCCCCCTCCACCTCCATCCAGGCCTCCAGCCAAGGCTTCTCCTCCCACCTTCTCTCCTTGTGGTCCCTCCCATGGCCAGGCTGCTCAGAGACCGGAGATGTAGGGCCACTCTCCCTGACATCCCTGTCCACTCCCAGATACTTGGGCACATATACATATATACTCACAAACACATATGCACTCCCATGTTCATGTATACACACTCCATACAAAAACTTGGACACAGAGTTGTGTACACAACCCACAGCCATCTGCCACAAACAGTCACACATTTTCATGTCCACACTCACAATAATACCATTGTTTTCTCATACACTCACATTCACATATACAAATGGTCAGGCCAGCAAGGTAAGGGCTATGTGAGGTTGTGAGGAGCAGGGATGGCTGGAGATAGGAGGGGAGAGTGTTCTGTTCTGTCTCTTTCCTACAGAAACTAGGTCTGGTGGGTGGGTGGGTGAACCTGTTTGGATTAGAGGGAGCTGGCAGTTAACCAGGAATCCCTGGGTCTCTGGGCTCTGCCACGCCCTCCCTTTCAGGCAAGCAGGCCCATGGTCTAGCTGAACTGACCCTTGCCCTCCACAGGGAGGTGTCCAAAGCCCCTGAAGAATCGTGATGTCATCACCCTCCGCTCCTGGCTCCCTATGGGCACTGATTACATCATTATGAACTACTCAGTCAAACATCCCGTGAGTCAACTTGACTTCCCTGCTGGGTGAACAGGGGAAGGTACTAGGTAGGGCTGGGCCAGCAGGCCTAGCCCAGGGAGAGGGCTCTGGCTGCTACCATGACTTCCCTGTGACTTCAGGCCAGGCATGCCCTCTGGCTCTCAGTTTCCTTCATAGGTAGTGAGAATAATGGCTCCTATCTCCCTGCTGGGGCTTTCAAGCAGATAAGGAGAGAGCAGTGTGGGCCATCACTGTGGATAAGTGGGTGGGATGGGCTGGCCAGGAAAGGGGAGAGTGAGGGGTGAGAGGCAAGGGTCTCTGGCTCTCCCTAAGGATGGTAATCTTGATCTCCATGGCAGGCAGGACAGGCAGGTACAGCTGGCCTGGGCAAGGATGAGTGTGTAGGTCTATGTGTGTGTGTGTGTCTGCGTGCCCACATGTATGCTCATGAATCCTGACCACAAACTGGGGTCTTTCTGGAGGGGAACAGGGAAATCTTAAGAGGGGCACAGGGAAATCTTAAGAGGTGCAAGGAGGACCTAGTCTCACTCCTCCCTTCCTCCTCACCCCAGCATCAGGCCTGGCCTGGAGTGGATGCCAGGGGATGTGAACCAACTCTAGTGTGTGTGTATGTGTGCGTGCACGCACGTGCGCATGTACTCACAAAGATGCCTCCTTTGCACCCACCCTGAGTCTCACCTCCCTGTGCCTTCCATCCCCAGAAATACCCACCTCGGAAAGACTTGGTCCGAGCTGTGTCCATCCAGACGGGCTACCTCATCCAGAGCACGGGGCCCAAGAGCTGCGTCATCACCTACCTGGCCCAAGTGGACCCCAAAGGTGAGGGCTTGGTCTTGGAAGCCCATCATGGGATCCTTCTCTAAACCACAGGGGATGGGCCTTGATCAGCTGGGATCAAAAAAGGCTTCTGTTAGGAGGTGTTTTGTATTTGGGAGCATCTCCATCCAAATATTTGAACCAAAGTTTGAGTCTTTACAATGGTTTGAAAAGCAAGGGCCAGGGTGGTAGCCATTGCTCCATGGCGAAGCTTAGAGCCCTCTTCCTGGGCTCCTACACCCCCATGCTCTGACTTGCTCCCTGCTCACTGACTGCTCCCACTCCGTTTGTCTCACTGGCTCCCATCCTCTGCCCATCCTGGAGGTCTGGGTTTTCCAGGCCCCAGTCCTCCTTTCCTTGGGAGGGCTCAGCTCCTCTCCAGGCTTCTGTAGCCAGGTGACCACATCTGTCTCTGCTGAGACCCAGATCCCTGTGGCCACTGGCCTCTGGGATGTGTCCCTTAGGATGTCCCCTAGTATCACTGAAACTCATTGTGACCAATGCTGAACTCACTATCTCCCCTCCTAACTTGCCCCTTCTTCTAAGTCTCTGCCCTCCAGTCACTCATGCCAAGAACCTGGGGGTTGTCTGGGGCCCCCTCTTCTCAGCTCCCAAATCTAGTCACTGATTCTTATTGATTCTACCTCCTAAACAGCTCCTGAATCTGTCATTTCTCTTCATACTCAGCCACCTTGTCTGTGCATACAGCTACCAGAGGAATTTTTCCAGAAGATTTATTTCCTTGTGACTCTCTTCTGCTTAAAATTCTTTTGTGATGTGACTTTCCATTGCCTTCAGAGGGGAGTCTAAGTCCCCTCCTCAGGTTTCCCAGTCCCTCCACACAGCTTACATATTCCTACCTTCTTGTCTAGGCAGCCCTTTCCCTCAGCCTAGAAACACCTCTCCTCCCTTACTCATCCCTCTAGGGCTGCTTCAGATGTCATCTCCTCTATCCCTGATACCCATAGGAGTCACTGACTCCCTGCCCTGTGGGACTGTCCCCCTCTACAGAGCACTTGGCACATTATTGGGCCCCTCAATCTTGAGGGGCCCTCTCTCTAGGTCTCCAGGGCTGGTCGAGTGTGGGTATCACTGAATGGATGTGGAGTGAGCGAGGGAATGGATGAATGACTAGTGGGTGGGTAAGTAAGTCCTGAGTATCTTTGCCTGGGTATACCCTCAGCATCACTGAGGGCCTAGTGGCCAGGGCCAGAGCTCCCCAGCACCTCTGGAGAAGTGAGTCTAGTGTTAGAGGCAGAGCAGACATTCGAGAATGAGACAGGGTGGAGTACTGGGCCATGAATTCCAGGTGAGGCCAGGCTGGCATGCTCAGCCCAGAGGCCTGTGTAGCAGCTAGGCTTCCTGGGGCAGGGGGCTTGGAAGGACAGGCAAAGGAGGGGCTGAGCATCAGGGCCACCGAAGGTAGAGGGGATGAGTATGAGAAAAGAAGTCAGTGTGAGTTGAAGGGCAGGCAGCAGGTGGGAGTTTGACTGGCCAGGATTTCAATCCATGTGTTGCCTTTGGTCACCTAGGACCCTGTGGTTTTCTTCCATGGAGCCCTCTGGGGCTTAGCAGAGGGCCTGGGGTGGGGACTGGGAGCTGGGTAGGGGGAGCAGGGAGGAGAGGGGGTAACAAGAGTTGAGCCTGAGGACCTTGGTCCAAGGTAGAAAGAGGGAGTGAAGATGATGAAGTTTTAAAGAACTTGCTTCACATCACCTTCCCACCCACCCATCCATGGAGAAGAAGGTGTCCTCCTTGGAAGCCCCAGGCTGGAGGGAGGGGGATGGTATGTGTGTTTGGTGGGGGCTGGATCCCTGATGCTGCTTTTTCCCTTTTCTCCTCACTACCCTTCCCTGACCTCATAGGCTCCTTACCCAAGTGGGTGGTGAATAAATCTTCTCAGTTCCTGGCTCCCAAGGTGAGTGGCCTTGGGACTTTGGGGTTATGGATGTTGGGGTGAGGGTTCCGGGATGAGGAGGTGGAGTCAGGGATGGAGACTGGGAGTCACGGGGCGGAGCTAGGGCTGAGGGGCGGAGTTTCGAAACCGGGGCAAGAAGCAGGATCCTGGGAGCTGCGGGCTGAGCCGCTGGAGGGCACGGGAGAGGACTTGACCAAGATCTAGTCCCGCGCCTAGCTCACCCCTGACTCGGCGGTGCGGCGGGTCCGCAGGCCATGAAGAAGATGTACAAGGCATGCGTCAAGTACCCTGAGTGGAAGCAGAAGCATCAGCCGCACTTCAAACCGTGGCTACACCCAGAGCAGAGCCCGTTGCCGAGCCTGGCGCTGTCGGAGCTGTCGGTGCAGCATGCGGACTCGCTGGAGAACATCGACGAGAGTGCGGTGACAGAGAGCCGGGAGGAGCGCGCGGGCGGCGCGGGCGGCGAGGGCAGTGACGACGACACTTCGCTCACCTGAGCTCAGCACCACGGCAGGCACCCAGACAAGACGGGGCGGAGCCCAGGGGCAGTGGATTCCCCCGCGTTTTCTCCCCTCCCCCAGCCTCTGCGCCTCCTGGGGACGACAGCTTCTGGTCCAGGCTGGCGCTGCGGCCTGGCTGGACACAGACCCAATAAACGATCTCACAGCCTCGGCCGGCTCATCCCTTCCCTGCTTTCCACCTGCTCAGGGCACAGCCGCTGCCCTTGGTCCTTTAGTTCTACAGTTCATTTTGTTAATTTTATTATTGATCACTTGGCGTTTGCCCCTTTAGGCATCCCCTCATTTCCCCATGTGTAGTTGGGGGTGGGGTCACACCCTCCTGTCCATGGTGTATTCATTCTCCTTGTGTCTATCCATTAGTTCACTCTTCATCCATCCTCCTGTCCTTGTGTGTTCATTCTGCCATTCACTCAAGGCTATTTGGCTCCCTTTCACTGCTCTAAGAGAAGGAGCAGGTTAGGCCAGAGGCCCAGGGTCAGGGGTCAGAGAGTGGGGTTCAACTGAAAGAACTTTAGCCTAAGGCCCCCCCTGGGTCCAACCTGTAGACTGGGGGGTCTGACACTCTCCAGTTGTGACTGAAGGAGGAGAAGTCCCTGGGTCTCAGACCACAGGGTTGTGGGCCTCAGAGCTTAGGTTGGGGCAGCATGTTCTGGAGGGAGTTTGGGGGTTGAGGTGACTGTCATCAGACTCCAGTGCAGTGAAGGACAAAGCCCTGTGTTTTGAGCCCTCCCTAGGTCATTTAGAACACATCAGGCCTGTGTTAACAGAAGGGGTAGGGCCTCCAGCCCCTTGCCAGTGGTCAGAAGCCAGTCCCATGATCCTGTGTTTCACTTGGCTGTTTGAAGTCTACAGGGATGCCTGAGCTTCTGTTCTCTGTGGTCTCCAGGTGCCCTCTGCTGCCCCAGGGACACCCCTGCTATCAGGTGGGGAGGAGGGGCCTGTGCTTTGCCCCTCTCCAGTGTTTTTGTACCCCATTTGAATTTGGGGACTGAAGCTCTCCCCAAGGTCTGGTCCTGCCTTCCTTTCCCGGAAAGTGACTTACCTTTGCCTTGTCAGGAAGACTCTTAGTCTTCTTTTTCCTAGAGGGGCAGAGTGAACGTCCAGTGCGGGTAGGCAGGAGATTCTATAACTCACCAGGGCTTAACCAGTTTGTCCAACACTTGCTTTGTAACTTTGGGCAAGCCCTGGAACTCCTTGGAGCTTCATTTACTAATCCATAACCTGCGGTGATGATTTTTACCTTCAGGCAGATTAAGATAAAAGGAGTAAGTTGCCCAGCACTGGGCTTGGCATGTAGTAGGTGCTCAAATTAATGACTCCCAATCTCAGCCCTGGGCACAGGACCCAGGAATGCCTACCAGCCCCAAGGCCCTTATCTGTGTGTCTGCTGGCAGGATGGCTGGAAATCTCCCATTCTCTAGGCCAGGGAAGGTGTCTGGGTGCCAGGACCTCAGGCTACAGCCTTTAGCCAAGGGATCCTTGGGCCTTCTAATGCATCTTCCCCACTACTCTGCCGCTGGGAGATGTGGGCCCAGGGAGAGAAGTAGGATATCCTCAAAGAATGAAGTGGGGAAGGACTTCCTGGAGGAGGAGGTCAGAGACTTTGGTCTTCCAGCCTCCAACTGCCCCTAACCGCCCTGAAGTAGGGGCGGTTTGTGGCTTGTCCCTACGAGGGGCAGAGTCACCAGGGAGAAGGGCGGCAATGACGAGTCAGGAAGACATGGAAACTCAGAGGGCGGTGGTGGTAAAAGTAGACTTGAGCCTCCGGAGACAGAAACGGACCTGTGAGTAGCGAGAGGATTAGAGACGCATAGACCAACCTGTCCGCAAGGCGGGCCAGGCTAACCCACTCAAAGACGGCGAATAGGCGTGGCCGGGAAGAGGGCGGGCCC